TAAAAAACTGCAAGTCTTAGAAAAGCTCTTTCCAGTTCCACCACTAAGCTGATGAAGGTCATGGGTTGTCTATTCATGGAGACCCACAATGATACCCATTTACAGTTCTCATTATCCTCCAAAAAGAAGGAACTCTCTTTCAAATGTTTGCACTTGGCTTCCTTGTAGGAAGAGCCAGTTTATGCACAAACATAAAATAGTTATATTGCTGCTGATCTTGTCATCCAATTTTGCAATCCACTCTTTAAAAATGAATCTAAAAAATGTCACTTCCAGACTTTAAAAACTGTATTTATTCCAAAACTCAGTATTTAAAATGGTAGGTCCCATTTAAAACTTTTAACTTTCCAATAGATAATACTTATAAAACAAGATTCTTATCTAACGTAGAATAAACAAATGAACTAGTCACAAGTTAAGGTTGTAAACATTTTTTCAAAGCAAAACAAAAAATAATTAAGGGCTTCCAATTTTTTATAATCACTCACACTTTTCCTTTGTTGTAACACAACACGCCTTTATACACTGTATTTGTAAATTTATTTTTTGGTGGGTAAAGAATTTGGATTCAGAGCTTTGGTCTTAATTCCTAAATTCTGTTCATATCCATTTGATCACATATAACAATTTTGACTGCAATTGTTCCAGAAAGAAAAAAGTTATTTAAAATTCTTAACCACCAATGGAAGCTGTGTGATTTTATGAGTTACTAAAGATTTAATACATAAACACAAAGATTAGCCATCTTTTTCCTAGATTGGAAATGTAAACAGAAGTTCACCACAGTTGTCTGTTAAGAGTTATTTATTAATTGTTCCACAATAGTTCTAAAGTTCATTACAAACCAAAGTACTGAAATAAGTCTGAACTGAAAGAATGACAAAATCAGAACACAGTTTTCCAACTAAAGATCCTCTTTACTCTTTTAACACTGTTAATATTGGAGTAAATTTTATATTCCCTATTTTCCTTCAAAATCTATTCCTTTTCTTATCCATTCCAAGATATCCCTTAATTCCCTTTATACTCAACCCCTGCCCATTATTCTTCTATTCTCTATAAACATGGGAAATACATTTTCCCCTCTGGAGTATAAGGTCCAAATCATTAAATTTTTCCCCAGCTATCTATCTACACTTCCCAAGACACCAATTTCAACATATAACATGCTTTACAAGGCTTATCATGCACAGTACATTTCAACCTAGCTACTCACACTCAGGCTATAATGAGGTATAGTCTATTATTAATAACTCAATATTATTCCTCCTAGGTAAAAAGGTGTAGGTTGGCTTGGGGTTTTTTCACTTTTGCCCCAACTTATGTGGGAAGCTACTCTGCAACTGAAGAACCACAGTAGTTGACTGTAATCATTGTACACCATAAACACAACTTTGTTGACAGAATATAATGAACTACTGTCAAGTCTACCTATATGGTAGTTATTATGAGAAGTGCAAAGAATTATAAAATCTATTCAACTAATTACTAGACCAGCTTATCATAAAACTCTACGGCTTTATGTAACCTAAATGAATTCCATAAATGCTAAGTTGTGAAACTGCAGATAAATCAATTCAGAAGCACCCCCAATATTTGATTTTTTTTTTTTTTTTTTTTTTTTTTTTTTTTTTTTTTTTTTTTTTTTTTTTAACTTTCTAATTATCTATACAATAAAATTTCAATATTTAGAATGCCTTCTAAATTCTTAGCCTGGGGTCCATAACTAAGAATTTATTTCAAAGTTGGAGATCTTGTGAGCATGTAAACTGGCTTGCACATTTTCATTTGTTGATGTATCTCTACTAATGTAAAGGGGCTGGCGGGCCATCAATTCTATCAGCTGCCCAGAGTCTGTGACCCAAAAAAACATTATGCAGAACTTCTATGAGTAAGCCAAAGATTAATCAAGAATTTAAATAGAATATATTTAAATTAGTCACACTCAAATAAAGTCAAGTGTAAGACAATAGAACTCTAAAATGCTGCGTTCATGCTAATGTTCATTTTAAATGTTACCAACAATATAAAAAAATATAATGAGAATACAATATTTTTCCTCAGTATCTATCAGTATCATAGAGGGTACAAGCAGACTGGTAAACCACAGACCTCTCTTCTTAAACACCAGGATGGATCCCATAACAAAATATTCATGGAACATTACTGACATAACCTCACGCAACATGATGCATGGATCATATCACAGCACTAATGAAAGGGTCTTGTATCACATTTTAAAAATGAAATCCTATCAGTATGTATCATAGAAAACATGAAGACCATAAAACTCAGAAAATGATAGTCTTCAGGTATGTTTTACTCAAAAAGTAGAGGTTTGAAGTTCAGAAGCTAATTATTTTAGGTGAGGGAAGATCTTCTATTTAATAAAAGCCTATGGGGGGCCAGGCGTGTGGCTCACGCCTGTACTCCCAGCACTCTGGAAGGCCAAGGCGGGTGGATCACAAAGTTGAGACCAGCCTGGCCAATATGGTGAAACCCCCATCTCTGCTAAAAACACAAAACTTAGCTGGATGTGGTGGCCGGCACCTGAGGTCCCAGCTACTCAGGAGGCTGAGACAGGAGAATCGCCTAAACCTGAGATGCACACGTTGCAGTGAGCCGTGATCACGCCATTGCATTCCAGCCTGGGCGACAGAGCCAGACTCTGTCTCAAAACAAAAAAAACAAACAAAAAAAAGAGCCTATGAATTTGGAAGGTAGAGATTCCATGTGACCTCATGAAGCCATACTGTTCAAACTGTCACCCTGTCATCTGGCATTTTGTAGTTACTCGTCATCAGTAGCATTCAGGCTTAAATGCTACTAATGGCGAGTAACTACAAAATGCCAGATGACAGGAATGAATACAAACATTTGCCTCTCTCATCTGATAAGCCTAATACAGAAAACTAAAGTAGAAATAGTTGTATCAGTTTGCAACTTTTTTAAAGCACACTAAAAATTAAAGTATAAATGTTTTTCACTGTTCTCATTATTAAATTACCTCAAAAATACTGACCAGCAATTGCTAAATTATGGTAGTCCTTATTCTGAATTTCCAGTAGCACAACAGAAATCCAAAAGCATTGTTTCCTACTTCATACCCTAACATCTTAAAAGTAAAAAAAAAAAATCTTAATTTTAAAATGATCATATTCAGAGACAGCTATTCCACAGAAGAAATAAAGGCAGGTGGACTGTTAAAAAAAAAAATCAATTTGTTAGAGTCACTCTAGAACACAGAATAAGTCACCTGTACAAAGAAATCAAAAGTTGGATTTCAATGCAGAATCAGAGATTCTGCTTAACACTCTTGTTCAAGAAAATGACCAAATCTAGGAAACACCCTTGGGCAAAAAAAAAACTGTAATAAAATAAAAAATTACACTTCCTAATCACAGAGCCTCACAAGTACAGATATTTCTCCACAGAGAAACTCATGCTTATACTCAATATAAATCTTTATCACTGGGCGCAGTGGCTCACACCTGTAATCCCAGCACTTTGGGAGGCTGAGATTAGGAGTGGATCATCTGAGGTCAGGAGTTCAAGACCAGCCTGACCAACATGGTGAAACCCCATCTCTACTAAAAACACAAAATTAGCCAGGCTGGTGGTGCATGCCTGTAATCTCAGCTACTTGGGAGGCTGAGGCAGGAGAATTGCTTGAACCCGGGAGGTGGAGGCGGCAGTGAGCTGAGATTCTGCCACTGCACTTCAGTATGGGCAACCGAGCGAAACTGTCTCAAAAAAACCAACACAAAACTTTATCATTTCCTGTAATACTATCATATACCAAAAAACCCAAAGCCTCAAAGACCTATTTGAGACCTGTATTTCTCCTTTAATGTATCTATTCCCAATTCCTTAACATTGTAGCCACTAAATTTCAAAGCACAATTGTCTGATGATCTACTTTTTCTCCTTCAGGTTTAAAAGTTTACTAATATTATTACATATTTACAAATTTTCAGTTTCTGCATTTTATAGGTTTAGTGCTTTCCTTCTAATATTTATACTCCCAACTTTTAAAAATATTGCTATGATTTAATATCTTCTTCCTACCTAAAATGCTCAAGACCACTGTAATCCAAATCGTACTGTCATTTTATTACAACTTTTTAATTAAAAAAAAATTTTTTTTTCCAAATCTGGTTCCATAATATATTACAACCTTTTTGAGGCAGAAAAGGATCCACCTAAAACCAGAAGCCAATGGAATCTGATTTAAAATAAAGCCTCAATAAATAATTTCTCTGGAGTAGTATTAAGATGGCTAACCCAATTTAAATAAAACATATTCTTATTTCTATAATATTAAATTTCTATTCTTCCATATTACTATGCACCTAAACATATTCAATGTTCATAAAACATTTCCTAATCACAGAGAATTTCATAACATTGAATATAAATGTATTTCAAACACTGAAATATAACTGTTTTATGAACATTGAACACTGAATATGTTTTAGGTCCATAGTAATATAGAAGAATAGAAATTTAATATTATGTAAATCTGAATCCTTTTTTTTTGAGATGGAGTCTTGCTCTGTCGCCCAGGCTGGAGTACAGTGGTGCAATCTCAGCTCACTACAACCTCCGCCTCCTGGGTTCAAGCAATTCCCCTGCCTCAGCCTCCAGATGAGCTGGGACTACAGGCACACATGACCACGCCCAGTTGATTTTCTGTATTTTAGTAGAGATGAGCTTTCACCGTGTTGCCCAGGCTGGTCTCAAGATCCTGAGCTCAGGCAATCCGCCTGCCTCAGCCTCCCAAAGTGCAAGTATTACAGGCGTGAGCTACCGCACCCAGCCTTGAATCCAATTGCAACTAAAATAAACCTAGAAACATAAAATACGTAAGTTAAAAAAATACAATTAAAATACAAGCCTCTAAATTGCAGATTATGCCATGGATGTGAATATTTTATAAAATGTTAATAGAAAAATCTGAAAAATGTGACTGGATATTAAGTGATACCTCCTTTCTTCAATTTTGTGATTAACAGGACTTTTATTGGTAGTAAACTAGAGCAAACAATCAGAATAATACATATGCAGTATTCAGTACACACAATAAAAGTTAAAGAAATTCAAAACCTGTATAAAACAAACTGGAGAAAAATCATACAGCTAAAGAGATACAGTGGTAAAGGTCCTCTCCATCCTTTGATTACAGCTTGTACTCTGTACTCAATAGAACTTACCGCACTTACTGAAAAAAAGAAATAAACACTTTTTAGTACTGAGTGTATTTAAGAAGATTAAGTACATTTTCTAAGAATCTTGTAATGACAAGTTGATGACCCTTTAGCTGCTAAAGCTAAAGGTAGGAAAGTGGGAAAAGGAAATTAACTAATACTTTGTAACAATTTTTAATATTTCTTATTTTCCAAACACTGCTTTTATAACAGAAGTGTTTTACACTTGCACAATATTAATTACTTTATTATACATGGAAGCCTGCGGTAGGCTGATTACACAATAAGACTGCAAACAACCAGTGGTACTTTTCTGACGTCAGAAGAGTACATAAGACTGAAACATCACCAAAAGTACATAAAAAACTCATCAGCATAAACATCAAAGTACATTAAAAAATATAATCAGGAAAAAAATACAATTGCTAAAAAGCAGTTTAGAGTAGAGCCACTGCCTATCAGTAGCTTCAAATGGCAATTAGCGTTCATAGCAAGTTTTGATGACTTTACAAGACCCCTGTACAATACTAACGCACCCTTCTGCTAAAATGTACATTAAAGGCCGCAATTTCACAAAGAGGTTCTGATGTTATTATTATATGCAGACACATTCTTATCCCTCACAGGAGTTATATCACCAGTTGGAATTATAACCTTATTAATATCTATCCAAGAACATGAGGTTTTATTATATATGGAAATCTGTATGGGTCTTCTTTAAAAAAAGGGGGGGTTTGAGGGGTGTTTGCCCTACTGTTTTGTATTTGGATGTCCTAATAAAGCGCATAGTGAATTACCTACTGGAATGTAAATGGTTCTAAAATTAAAACTGTCAAAATAGAGGGAATAAGGAAGGCCTGGGAACTCTTAAGAGGCTAAAAACAAAAATTTTTAAAAAAGCAAAAACATAAGTGTAGGTAATATGTAATAGCACAGAAAAAAAGGATCATTTTAGGCCATGTATAATAAATAATGCATACCCCATATTTCAGTTAATTATATGGGTTCTAATACTGGAACCAGCTAACCACTTGGGCTTCAACACTGTACTAGATGTCAGTAGAATCGCTTAATGGAATTACAGCCTTGTTACAGTTGGGATAAAGAGAGGGTGCTTTTTTTTTTTTCCTTCTTTTGTTAAAGCTATCATTCCAGGCTTTGATCAAAGATCCAAGAATATTTGTTCTACCAGGCTGGAATGAATGTGGTTTGGAAGTTCAGAGTACATTTAAAAGCTGCAACAAAATATAGGTAGCCAACAATCTCAGAATTTTGGATCAGCCCAGATGGAGATAGCAATTTGAAATGTTTTCAATCCCTTACTTAAATGAAGAAATGTCTATCAGCCCAGAGAGAGCAATTTGAAATGTTTTCGATCCCTTACTTAAATGATGAAATGTATATCATACTATCTGTAAATTGGATATTCCATTACAGTGATAACGTACAGAATTCCCATGCGTTATTACACTTTCCTGAGAGTAAAGCAATTAGAATAACCTTAATCCTAGCAACAAAGTTTTTTTTTGTTTGTTTTTTTTGTAGGGTTGTTTTTTTGTTTTTTTGTTTTTATTTTTTTTTTTTTTTTTTTTTTTTTTTTTTTTTTTTTTGTTTTTTTTTTTTTTTTTTTTGCATTTAAAACATTTGGGCTATTCCCTGACGATCTATACATGTAAATTTGATTGCTAAACATTGTCACTTTGAATGTCAAACTATTTTTAATCTATTGATTTTGATTAAAAATCATAATACAAACAGAGCTAAAATCACGCTAACAAAATAAACTAAATATGAAAAGTTGCATTGAAAGGGCATTACATTATTCTTAATAGGATCGTGTAGAAACATTCCAATGGCAGTGTTCTCAAAATAAAACAAAATTACATTAGAAGACCCCCAGCCTGGTCACTTTTGGAACCTTACCTGTAACTCTGACTGGTGGGTGTCTTTACTCTTGTACTACATGGCTCACTTACATCAGACATCATATTTGTATACCCTGAGAAATCTGACACTGAAGTCCTTACTCTATGGTCCACTTCTCCATTAGAGTTAGTGATAAAGGTCATTGGCACCCTGCTGCCCGACTTAAACTGAGAACCAAACGCTTGTGCAAAGTTCTCAATCTGGTACGTTGTTCTAGGCTCTAAGTCTTTCTGAGGATCTATCTGGCTAGCTAACTCCTGAGATGGAATCTGAAAGCCTGTTGAGGACTCTAAGTTTTTCTGTTCCTTCTGGCTAGTCAATTTCTGAGATGAGGACTGGAAGGCTGATGAAGTCTCTAAGTTCTTCTGAGAATCTATCAGATCATCCAGCTCCTGGGAAGGTGTCAACTGCTGATGTGTAGCATCCAAAGCAGACAAATAAAGACCTGGCTGAGAGCCAAACAACATCCCAAAAGGAGGCTTTGGCAATGAAGATGGCAACACTGAGGTAACAGATGGGCCGAAACCACACTCCAAAGGAGATGTAGTGTATATTTGCTTTTCTGGAAACAAAGTGTGGTTGTGGAGAGGTGAAGACAAACTGACAAATTGGAAACCGTGTCCAAGAGTAAAACTTGCATTAGTGGATTTTTCAAAAGCCTGTTGGAGGTATTTGGAGTATTCTTGCAACATGCTTGCTTTATCATTTGAAGGTGTTTGGGTGCCTGGGCTCAAATTTTCTTCTTGAACCAATTCTGAGTGTTCTCCTGAGGTGTGTAAATCCACTCGTGGTTCTGTAATATTGAAAGGATCCTCTTTCTGGCTCTCTGATTTGTTGGAGTATTGATCCAAAATACTTTGTAAAACCTCATCAGGAATTCCAGACTTGTCATGACAAGACTTAATTTCAGCATTTAGAGCTGAGGAGTCAATAAGTGACAACGGTGCCTCACTGTCCAAAACACTGACACCTGCAGACTGAATGACAGACTGTTGGGAGACCATGTGTCCTACGTTTATAGAAAAGGCACTGTTGCTGCTGGCAGTTGGTAAATATCTTCTTTTCTTTGAAAACTGCATGGCATCATCATAATTACTACTTATTTGACCTTGTTTGCCACTTGTACTTTGGAGAAGACCAATGGTCTCCACACTGCTATTCGATACTATGCCAAGTGAGCCACTTGGTTTTCCAGACAAGGATTTCTGTCCAACTATGTCTGGTAATGGTGACACAAAATTAAGGTAGTTTTTATCTGTATTCTTTCTGCTTCCTTTCTTAAAGATCAATTTTGGCACCCTTTTCTGCAGTTCATCTATTCCAGTGCCAATTATGCCTCCACTGGAAGACACAGTAGGCATTTCTACAGAGTAACTCTGCATGTTTATATTATTTGAAATTTGTGATTCATTTGTTTTACCGGTCTTCTGTTCCTTTTCAATAGCTATGCTTTTTGACTTTGTTTTTCTCCTTGAAGAACTTGTATTTCCCTGAGACAACACAGCCAGATTACCCATATTGTTATGGTTTGATGACCCAGGTTCTGCACTAGTGGCTCCTTTAACTATGACTTCACCACATGTGCGCCTGTGCTTCAACAATCTATCAGTCCTTGAAAAATACTGTTGGCAAGTGTCACACTTATATGGCTTTTCTCCACTATGTGTCCTCTTGTGTCTCTCCATATGGTACTTCTGAATAAACTTCATGCTGCACTGATCACATCCAAATGGCTTCTCTCTACTGTGAATTTTCTCATGTCTCTGCAGTAGGTATTTCTGAATGAAACCCATACTACACTGGCTGCACTGGAAAGGTCTTTCTCCTGTATGAATGAGGACATGTCTCCGCAGGTGATAGGAGCTTCGAAAAGCAGCACTACAGTGATCACAGATATGAGGTTTCTGACTTGGGGAGAGGATGGCACCTTCTCCATCTCCAACCAAAGAAGGTTTGGAAGATGCACTTGGCTTCCTCTTGGCTTTGATTCCCTGAGATTCTGGCTTTGGCCTTTTTGCCTTTTTGACATTAGTGTCCTGCTTTGGCTGCTCATTGCCATGGTGGTCATCAGTCCTGCTACTGCTGCTGAGCAATACGTCACGGTGGTGCTGGGCTGGCTGCTGCTGGACATGCTGGTGGAGAATACTGAGGTCCTGGATGACGCCGTGACTCCCCCCTTCACCGCCTCCTAGGCCAGGAGATCTCTCTTCAGCCCCAGCGAACAGCCCCCCATAGTGGTGGTGGTGATGGTGGTGGTGGGACTGCTGTTCCTCAGGATCCGCGGGTTTCTCCTGTTTGATGCTAACCAAAGACTGCAAGAATCCCCAGGAGGTCCTCTGCGAGGGGAAGGCCGCGGCTGACGCCGCCGGCTCCTTCTTGAAAGTCATGTCCGGGGCTGGCGGAGGGGGGGGCTCGGCGGCCGGGGCTGCGGAGGTAGAGGAGGATAACACGCATTGCGGGGGAGGGGCGGCCGACCCCGCCGGCCGGGTGAAGCTGGTGACCGGGGGGAGCCGGTGGTTGAACATAACCATACCCTGGGGAAAGGAGGGTTCCATCTCTGCCCTCCTGCCGCTGCTGCCGCCGCCGCCGCCGCCACTACCGCCGCCGCCGGAGCCGCTACCACCGCTACTGCCGGTACCACCGCCGCCACTCAGGAACCCACTGCCGATTTTCATACCCCGGAGGAGGCCTGGCTGAGGAAAGGAGGAGGAAGAGGGAAGAGGGAGGAAAGGAGGTGGAACCGGGCCCCGGGCCGGGACCACCGCAGCGCTCAGGACCCCGCCGCGCCGCCGCCCAGACCGCAACGCGCCCAGCACTAATTCCCTGTCCAGTCGCCTCCGGCACCGGCACGCATGCTCCTGCGACTCTCCCCCGGGCCTCGCCCTCTCCCTCCTGGACCCACCGGCAACACTTACGGGTCCCGCCGCCGCCGCAGCCGCCGTCGCCTCCAGTTAATAAAAATAACGCCGTCCTCTCCACAATGGAATTAAAAGCCTCCCGTGTACTGCGCAGCCGCGGCGCAGTGTCTGCTGGGAACTCCTCGACCGGGCCAGAGGGGAGGTCTGAGGAGCCTGGGCGCCTGCGCCTCAGCTTCCGCCCGGCCTGCCTGTCAATCACTGGGGCGGTTGGGCGGAGGCGGGGGGGCTCGGGCAGGAGGGGCGGGGATTTGGAGCCTACTAAAAAGGGGCTTCCGAGGAGCACAGGCGTGATTGGTGGGCTGCACTGAAGGAGATGAAAGTGGTTGAGGGCTTCTGGGGTGGAACCAAGGGGCGGGAAGTTACCGCGGACCGTACTACAGCGTGGCGTGGGAGATGCAGAGAAAGGGGCTGGAAGGAGAAGGTGGGGGAAACTGAGGACTCAGTGTTGGGGCTTTCTTCACTCTAGGTTTTGCAATCCAGTTCTTGAAAGAAAATTCAAATCCAGAAGTGGATCATTTAGGGCACTTTTGATTCTGTCAAAAAGCATTCAACTACAAATGCTCAACGTTTATTAAAACAGGTTGCTTATGTTATCCCTTGGAATTTGGAAGCACTAATAATGGGCGCATATCCTTTGCATTTATGGGAGGAGCCTGCTTTGAAACCGCAATTAGTGGTACCGTTGCAAAAAAAAAAAAAAAAAAAAATTGTCTTACTGCCAACCTTCCTGAAGGCTATTGGAAGAGGAAACCGAGCGTAATCCAGGTGCAGCAGTCCTGTAAAACACGCCCACACACATACTTCATTATCATCACATGTTATTTAAATACCCCAGTACCTTAGCCTGGCTAATCAGTCTGTTTGCCACCTTATAAGCGCCTGGCCCTTTATATTGTTTATGGAAAATTAACCACCAGGCCGTACTAAGAGCTCTGCTAGGATCCACTCTTTCCTTGCCAGTACAGAAAACTGAGAAACTCATTGAAAATTTAGAAATTTTTTTCATAAGGGAAAATTATCAAGTAAAATCTTTAAAATCAAACTTGTATCAACAAAATCAAACAACAAACATTTATTCAGTACCTAATGTATACAAGGTACTCGACTTCATGTTAAGCATGCAGAAAATCTAGACACTTTCCTAGCAAAGGATATTTATAAATGAGAAATTTTAAATAAAAGAACTAGAACTATGGCAACAGCTTATTTACAAACCGTATTTTCTTAATGAAATGACATGTACATCTCACAATGTTTCTGGCTAAGTAACTTCTCACAATTAAATAATAAATTCTATGAGAAATTTCACAATCGAAACCATAGGGATGATTTACTAATACTTAAGGACCTCTCTGAGCCTGCCTTAAAAGCTCAAAAGACAGTATTTAATGAGCATTTTGAGATAAGAAGTAATTGTTTTTTTCTAATCCCATGAAACAACATATAAGTATTCCACCACTTAAACTGAAACTTTAATACGTCAAGTATAATTGTGATATTGTGAAAGATATATTTGGACTTTAAACCGTTTGGTGGCACACAACTGCTAAAATCCTTGGAATCTCCAAAGTAATAAATGTCTTTTTGTATGCTGATGAAGCGACTGATGGCTGGCAACCCCTAGGTAGCTTCAGGATGGGGGCTGGTCACCGGAAAGACCAAGGCAGGATTAGAGGTTGGGACTTACAGTCCCACCCCCCAACCTCCGGGGAGGAGAGACAGATTGAAGGTTAAGTTGATCTCCGACGGCCAATGATTTAATCAATCATGCCTGTGTAATGAGGCCTCCATAAAAACCTAAGAAAGGACAGAGTTTGGAGAGCTTCCTATAAGCAAACCCGTGAAGGTTCTAGGAGGGTGGCGCACCCGGAAAGGGCATGGAAGCCCGGCGCCCCTGCCCACATACCCTTCCCTATCCATCTCTTCATCTGGCGATCATCGATATCCTTTGTAATGTCCTTAACAGTAAACCGGAAAACCTAAGTGTTTGCCTGGGTTCTGTGAGCTGCTCTAGCAAATTAATCAAGCCCAAGGAAGGGGCCATGGGAACCCCGATTTATAGCTGGTCAGTCAGAAGCACAGGTCAAACAACGTGGGGCTTGTGATTGGCATCTGAAGCAGGGCCAGTCTTGCAGGCCTGGGCTCTTAATCTATGGGATCTGATGCTGCCTCCAGGTAGATAGTGTCAGAATTGAATTGGAGAACAGCCAGGTGGTGGCTGCTGCAGAGCGATTGCTTGCTCCTATGTGGGGAGAAGCCCCTACACATTTGGTCACAGAAATCTTCTGTGTTGATTGTTGAGTGAGAGTATAGGAGAGACTGAGTAGTTTTTTTTTTTTTCTTTTCTTTTTTTTTTTCCTACAGTAGCTAAGTGTTGAAGACTGAAAGTTCAAAAACTTAAGGCAGTCGTAAAATATTAGTCAATGCCTATGAGAAATGAGGCTGTCCCTTTATTCAGGGTGTCAGTGTTTAATGGTAAGCTGGGATGCATATAAGCTAGTCCAAGCATGAAGGGCAGTAGGACACTCACATGAAAAGCCAACTTTGTTCCTCAGTTATCAAGATAAGAAACCTGTCATTTCTCTCATTCACTCTGTCAGCCTTGAGATACTCCAAGCAGACTTACCTCTGTGTTGTACACCCCATATATCAGGAAGATGAAGAGACCCTGTAAAATAAAATGGAGGGGGAAAGCTGTTAACGCTAATCATTTCAGCAGTAGAAATACCTGAAATAAACTTTCCTGGGAACAGACAAAAGAAGACACACTTCATCAAGGTCAATTTATTTTCCTATTTTTCAACATTAGAAGGTGTACCTTGAGCATTTCTATGATAACATAGCAAGCACATTACTTATAGCAGTTGTGCTATTGAATTCTTTAGAAGTAGGAAATAAAAATACCATTCCAAGTGTAAAGAATATTAATTAGAAAAATCAATATACCAGTCTCTGATAGCCGGGTAATGAAAAAACTAAACTCAGGAAATGTTATTAAAGGAATCATAGCAATAACACTAAGCATGAGTATTTCCAAGCACTGTTTTAGACTGTAGCAACTAGAATATATTTGTTACAATCTTCAACAGGGTTAAAAATTGAAAAAAAAAAAAAAAACAAAGCAGCTAAATGAGTAAACTTAAGGTAATAAGATGCATAGGTTTTAAAATAATGCTTGAAATACCAGCTCAAGATAAAATTTCACATTACAATCTGTTGTAAACTGCATACATTTTTATTGTAATCTATACATGTAATAAATATTCCAAAGATGTTAATCAGTCTTTAGCTTTAGAAAATGCTCAGTTACTTAGAAAATATAAATTGAACCACGCTCTTAACTCTAAAATCTTAACTTTTAAAAGTAAATAAAACTGATATGCTTTAAACTTAGAGAAAACAGAAAGCAAAAATTTTTCACTTTGGTAAGGAAATAAAAATTTATATTGTAGTATTCTTGTTAGGTACTAACAAACCAAATATTAAATAGGAGTCTGTACTAAATCTGGAAATGGTTTAAATAATTAAGTAACATGATACTTTCAAAAGGAAAATATTAAAGGAATAGTTTAATATTTGTTTATCTCTGAATGCTTAGATTTTACAGATAATGGAAACAATCCCAGAACAAAGAGATTGTATAAAACAAGTGATTCTTGTTTTTGTTTGTCGCTTTTTAAATAGACTTTGTTTTTTAGAACAATTTTAGTTTTACAGGAAAATTGAGAAGATAGTACTCTGAGTTTGCATATATATCCCATCCCCAGTTTCTTCTGTTCTTAACATTTTACATTAGTATGGTATAGTCATTACAGTGAATCTAATCCTTTTCAATACTACTACCACGTTTATAATGTCAGAAACTGAAACTATTGCAATACATACATTTGTATTAATAAGAATGATTTATGAAGAGTTATGAACAATAACAAATTTCCATTTTGATAATAAACTTTTAAAAATTAAACTATAGACACACTTTTTTTTTTTTACTGTGTGTGCGCGATGTCCCAAAGTTCAATACCAACACTCACTTTCCACATTCCAGGAGCCTTGGTCAGCATCTACCTAGTGCAGACTAAATTCAAGCCACTCAGTACTTGAATTTAGTACTCATTTTATAGTCTACTTGTTTGCCCCAATTCTGAATAATTCCAAATAGTTCAAGAAAAAAATTTTTTTTCTGATTTATGTAAAAACTCTAAGCTAATTAACAGTTCCTCTTCACTCAATAATTGTTATTTTTTTATTCCTTATTTTGCTGCATAAATAAAAAATTAAGGGTAAGTAAAGTTACTCAAATTTTAATTCTATTTATGAGATAGGAATATTTTGCTTTGTACAATAGGTGAGTTCCTGAATAAATAAAATTTTTTGAACATTGGACAACATGCATTATGGTTTCTATATAAGAAACCCAGCTGCTGGTGGGATGCCGTGGCTCACACCTGTAATCCCAACCCTTTGGAGGCTGAAGCAGGCGGATCACAAAGTAAGGAGTTCAATACCAGCTTGGCCAACATGGTGAAACCCTGTCTCTGCTAAAGATACAAAAAAATTAGCCAGGCGTGGTGGTGCCCCTGTAATCCCAGCTACTTGGGAGGCTGAAGCAGGGGAATCACTTAAACCCAGGAGGTGGAGGTTGCAGTAAGCCAAGATCGTGCCATTGCACTCCAGCCTGGGCAGCAGAGTGAGACTCTGTCTCAAAAAAGAAAGAAAGAAAGAAACCCAGCTGTTGGCCAGGTGCGGTGGCTCACACCTGTCATCCCAACTCTTTGGGAGGCTGAGGCAGGAGGATTGCTTGAGGCTGGGAGTTTGAGATAGGCCTTGACATAGCAAGACCCTATCGCTACCGAAAATTTAAAAGTTAGCCAGGCATGGTGTTGCACGCTTGTAGTGTCAGTTGGAGGCAGGAGAATCACTTGAGCCCAGGAGTCAGAGGCTGCAGGGAGTTATGATCACACCACTGCACTCCAGTCCATCCTGGCAACAGAGTAAGATCCTATCGCTAAAAAAAATTTAAAAAAAAAGAAAATCAAAGAGAACTTTAACAGTGGTATAATCACCCCTATAATTCATTTGTTTTGTAAGTTTCATTTTTCCCCATGTCTTGGTAAAC